ATTTTTTTTTTTTACGATTTTAAATAATAATAATTTAAGTAAAAAAAAAAAAAAAAAAAAAAAAATTATATACCGAAACGAAAATTTACAATTATTTCTATTGACACGTTTTAAAAAAATGCGCCCAAAGTAAATAAAAAGGGACGTCATCGTCTTTCATCGGGGGAAAAACCCCAAAACGAATAATAATAAAAACAAAAATTTGGGATTTCGAAACGTTAACAATCCCAACATTTAAAAAAAAAATTGGAATTTAAAAAAACGATTGAGAAATTTTATTAAAGAGGAAAGCTCTTTTTTCCATTCTCTCTCTCCATCTCTCTCTCTCTCTCTCTCTTTAAATTACCCGTCATTATAATTGCATGCTCTCGTTCAAAAAAGGAAACAAACAAAAAAAAAAAAAAAAAAAAAACAAGTTTTTTCTTAACGAAAAAAAAACAAAAGTTGTCATTTTACTTATTTGCAAAAAAAAAAAAAAAAATCAGGTTAACCAACATAATTAACGTTTTTTAAATTTTTTTTTTTTCTATTAGCAAAAAAAACGGTTGCGTCAATTTCGAAAAATCTAACGGATTTTTTTTCCCCCCACATTTTCTCCCCGAGGGATGTAAAATGTACCGTTTTTTTTCTTACCGGTAAAATGTACCGGTTGGTAAGAAATCACACTTTAAAATGGGGGTAAGGGTAAAGGGAAGGAGGAGGGAGGGAAGGAAAAAGGTGGCACAAAACCAAAACTGCCAATTAATACCTTAAGGCATCTGATTGATTTATTATGACAAAAAATTTTCTTCTGTTTCTGCGTAAGCTTTTATAATAAATTTAATTTAACCTAAATTTTTTTTTCTTTTTTAATCTCCTTCCACTACGTTATTATTATTACTATTATTATAGTTATGACCAATGAATAATGAGTGAAATTACGCAACACCGCACGCGCGCGCTTTTTTATTTAATTAATAATTATCTACCGGAAACAAAAAAAAAAAAAATTTTCTTTTCCCTATAAAATCTCACGAAAGGCGATGATGGATGGATTTGCGAAAAAAAAAAAAAAATCATTTATTTTATCGATAGATCGATCGATCGATTGTTTGCGTGTGTGCGTGTGCGTGTTCGCCATTTTCCTTTCTTTTTTTGCACATTGATTATTAAAACAATGCGATGATTTCAACGGTGTCCTATTGACATCTATTTTTAAATAACGTTATTTTGCGGTACGAAATATTTTCGCACTTTTTTTGTTTTTATTCGTGAAGGAATAAACAAGAACAACGTAAAAGTCGTCTGCTATTGTGATAAATTGTTTTCGATGGGGGGACGAGGGGAGAGAAGGAGAGGAACGGGAGAGCATAAAACGGGAGAGAAAAAACGACAAAAATTATTATTACAAAAATCTAAACAAATCGAAAATTCTGTTTACGTAATCGAAAATTCTAAAAAATCCAAAAAAAAAAAAAACTCGAAAGTAAATAATAATAATAATAATGATAATAATAATAATAATATTTCGATCGAAAAGATTAAAAAAAAACTTCGAGAGGAAAAAATACAAAAATTTTAGTAATTAATTACGATGATGAATCAAAAAAAATTTTTTTAAAAAAGATTTTGTCATATTGCGTGAGTGCGTGAATGCGTGTGCCCACTTTAAATCGTGTCGATTTTGTTTTCGAAATAAAATTTACTTCATTTTACGTTTATTTTCCTTAAAGAAAAAACAAAACAAAAGCGGGGAAGGAAGGAAGGAAAGAGAAAGGAAATGAAAAGTTTACACGGTTTATTATCGAGTTCACGTTTTTATATATTATTATTATTATTATTATTATTACTTTCCATTCACTTTTGGCGTTAATCTTATATGGTATAAAAATATTCAGTTCAGGTACGAAATGGAAAACCAAAACAAAATGGCGATGACCATATACATCGATATATTAAATAAATACAAAACAACCGGAAAAGCTTAAAAGGTTAAACGAAAAAGTGGGGGGAGGGGGAATTCTCCTTTGTTATCATCAAATATCATAATCAAGGTCAATATTATTTATTATCATTTGTCATAATAATTTAAATAACCTATTTATTAAAAATACGAAGAAGAGGCAGGAAAAAAAAAGGTGGAGTTAAAAAGTGGGAGTAGAATTTTATTATTATTATTATTTTTCGCATAAATTTGTTTGACATCGTTTTATAAACTTTCGTCCTTGGTGGGAAAATGTCAATGAAGTGGTATGGATGGTAATGGAATGGGGGACCCTTTTAAACAGGTGCCTTAGGGATGGTGGAAACATTTCATAGATGACAACGTCGACGAAGCCGGTTTGCAAACGATTTCGAAAACATTCGAAAGTAGTTTCCCCCTTCCCCCCATCAATGGGAAAAAAAATTCCCTTTTCTTTTTTTACTTTCAAAAAAAAAATTTTTTTTTCGTGACATTTCGCGGCGTTTTGAATTCGTTAATTAATTCGAATTTTAATTAATTAATTAATTAATAATTTTTTTTATTTATTTATCATCGAAACGTTTACGTTATGCAATTTTTCGAATCAGGGAAAAAATTTCAGGTATTTAAAGGCGCGGTTTCGCGCCAACAACCGCCATTAAAAAAAAAAAAATTAATATTTCGATTCCTATTTCATCATCTTCGCGTAGTATTATTACAAAAAAAAAAAAATTACGGGCGCCGCCGCCATCATCACCTATGCCTATGCCTATGCCTATGCCTATGCCAAACCCCTTAAAAAAGGCCTCTCATTAATTTTTTAAATTCCTCGCATGAGGTCTTAATTTCATAAACCGATAACTCCAAAAATTTCCTATTAATTAACGGTGCATCGAACAACATCAACTATTATTTAAAAAAAAAATTAATAATGTCACACTCACGCACTCACGCACGCACACAAATGCGTATATAAAATAAATACACGTTTGAATGCGCACAAATATTTAATTATGTATACGACTACGACCTACCAAAACCTGTATACATACATACATAGGTACGGTGGACTGAACTTTATAATTTTTACCTTCGAGCGAATAATTTATCCACGTATAAATAAAGTTGGCACACGTAACGGTCGTTTTAAAAAAAAATATGCTTTAACTATGCGAATACATTTACTAACCAAATAAATAAATTTTTTTAAATGTCGTGGAATAAGAATTCCATTAAGAAATAATAATAATAATAATAATGATAATGATAATAATTCGCGCATCATTTGTTCGAGAGTAAATATTTGGATTTTGAAAGAGATATAATGGATGGCAAATTTTTATTTAAAAAAAATAATATAACGGTTTTCGACATTTTTTTTTTTTTTTTTAAAGAGTAATTATTTATGTTTTTACCGTAGTTATGAAAAAAATAAATAAATTTGATACCGTAATTAATTACGGTAAAAAAAAAAGTTAATTCGAGTGGAAAACTATCGAAATGATATGAAAACAAACAAACAAACAAACGATTAAAAAAACTTTTAACGTATTTTTTTTTTTAAATATATAAATAGGGAAAAATTTAAACAGATTGATAAATCAATATATAAAAATCGATTATATTATTATTCGATTGAAAGTAATCATCACGATGATGATGATGATGATGATGATGTTTCACGGACGGTCGGTCGTTTGGTTTACTTCCCATAATGATTTCGATATTATAAAAAAAATTTTTTTTTTTTTTTTCGGTTTCGATTTTTTCCTCATTTTCCTTATTTATTCATCATTAATTATAATTAACGCATTGATTTTTATATAAATTTTAAACTGCAATAATAATAATAATAATAATAATAATAATAAATGAATGAGGAAATGACGTCATGCGAAACGTCCCACATTTTTCATTTCGAATAATTTTATATAAATGTCATCTCATCGTAATTGATATTCCAGAATTTATTCCTAACCGTCGAAACGGTCGGGTAGAAACCTGAAAAAATTGTTTAAAAACTCCTACAGGTATTTAAAACCTTAATACTGATAATAATAATAACAATTATTATTATTATTATTATTATAAGCGGAAACTCATTTGTAACAGAGCGAAGACGAATATAATTTTTGTTTTTTTCTTATTTTTTTTTTTTTTTTATTAAACTTCCGGTAAAATAATTTAGAATTTCTTTTTTGTATATTTATTTAACGATACGATAATAATAATAATAACGCTTCGATAGAAACCGGAAATCGATCATTTCGATAAAAAAAAAAAAAAAAGAAAATTCAAGGAAAGAGATAAAAAAAAATTGGAAATCGGTCGTTTTTTTTTTTTTTTTTGCAAATTAAAATTGATTCGGCGCCATTTTAAAAACGATGACGATAATGATGATGATGATAATACGTATGATTCTTGCGATTAAATATTTTTTATAAATATAAAACAGTAAAAAAAAAAAAAAAAAAAAAAACTCGTTTGGTGTCGTCCGTAATAACAACTTATTATCATTTGCAACAAACAAATTTTAATATCTTCCTGGTTGATCTTTTCATATACACAAAAACAAACTCATTCGAACGTTTCCCCTCCCCCCTCCCCATAATCGAAACAAATTAATTAAACAACAAAATATAATTAAATAAATCTTTTTCTCTCAAAGTTTTCCAGCAAAGACAAGAAAAAAAAAACCCCATCCGCGGCATTTATTCCAGACTCGGCTGGCAACCATTTTCTCACCATTTTTCGACTCTGCTCGAAATCAAAATTATCATAATTTTTTAATTAATTAATTTAATAATTTTATTACATAATATTATCATAAATTAGTCTGGAATAACTAACTCTGGAATAATAAATATTTCCAGTTAATAATCAATTAAATTTTTTCTCTTTTTCGTTTCGCAACAGACGATACAATAATAATAAATTTTTTTTTTTTATTTACGGCGAAGATGATCTTATACGCATAAACACGCGATGATGATGATGATGCTAATAATAATAATAATATTTTATCATCTTTATATCAAGAGATTTTTTGTTTGGAAAAATGATCAATTTTCGTACTTGAAAATTCGTTCTTTGTAGCGATGAACAAGAAATAAAAAGGAAAGGAAAGGAAAATCCTTGACACGTAAAACATTTAAATGATCCAAAACATATTTTATTCATTATTATTATTATTATTGATATACTTGTTTTAAAATTCTCGCGAAAACAAACAAACAAACAAACGAGTAATTTTTTTGGAATTTCCAATATTTTCATCGTAAAAAAACTTCAAAACATTTTTTTTATTAATTAATTTTTTTTTTGTTTTTTTTTCTGCCAACAGGAAAAAGTAAAAACTGCAGGTTTCCAGGTTCTCCAGCACATTCGGAAGTTTTCTTTTCCGATGAATCATTGGGACCTGGTTCTGTTGCCACGTACACGTGCGAAAGAGGATTCGAATTATTGGGACCGTCTAGGAGAACGTGCGTGAACGGGGATTGGTCACCCGAAGGAATACCTTTTTGCGGTGAGTTTTATCATCATTATTATCGTTTTTTTTTCCTTTTTCCTTTTTTGAAAATAACGAATTTAAATAATTTCTAATTAGCTTTCTAAGACGAATCGTTTTTCTTTTTTTTTTATAAACGTACGAGACGAAAAATAAAAAGAAAAAAATGGTGAAAGTTTTTTTTTTTTTTTTTTTAAATAAATTATTTTTTAAACATTTTCACATTAGCGCGAAGGGAATTTGTAATTTTTTTAAATTAAATTTTGTTTAAATAAAAACAACAACAACAACCGCTAATGATGGGTAAAATAAATTATCATCATCATCACTATTATTCTTATTATTATCATTATTATTATTAAAAATTATTTATATTACTATTAAAAATATTAATTAAAAAATCGGAGGCTTTGCATTTTGAAAAAAAAAAAAAAAAAAATTACATTTTAATTTAGTAGACCGTAAATAAATGAATAATTGTAATCATGACGATGATGATAATGATGATTCGAGAACAATGACGAGCATTTTTAAAATTTTTCCCTTTCTCACACACTTCTTCGGTCGATCGTCCATTTTATTATTACTCTTTGTTAATTTTTTTCTTTTTTTTTGTTTTCAACTCGACAAAACTAAATCTGGTGACACGACCGTGAAGAAAATTAAAAATGATTGAAGCCCTTAACTAATTCACAAAAAAAAAAAAAAAAAAAAAAAAAAAAAAAACAAAGGAAGGCCCGATTCTCGACGAAATCCGTGTGAGAAAATTCTTATTTACAAATTCAAACACCACGTGCGTTCGCGTGCGTAAAAAAAACTTTAAAGAGATATGCTAAATATAAGCGTGTATTACCATTTAAGAATAATCTTTTTTCCTTATTCTCTTTTTTCCAATTCTTTCCCGTATATTTATTATTATCCCGTATTAATATTTCGCCATATTGATTTTTTTTTTTTTTGTTTTCTTCCTGTTTTTATCAATTGATAATAATATAATTATTCGCCTAATTTATTTACTTTGTAAAAAAAAAAAAAAACTCGAAAACTATCGTCGCAATCATTATTATTTTCTAACATTTTTAAAATTGTTTGTGAATCAGAATGTTAAAAGTTGGTCAAACTTGTTTAGAGAAAAAAAAAAAAAAAAAAAAATTTAACGAAATCTAAGATGAACCTCAGATATGCTAATCGAAACCGCACGCACACGCGCACGCACACACGCACACACGCCTGGCTTTCTCTTGATGATTGAATATTCAATAATTGATACACCCTCCCCGTAAAACTTTTTTTGGGGGGTATAAAAAGATGGTAATAGCAAAAGAAAAGAAAAATTTTTTTTTATTTTTTTAACGAACGAAATTAAATAATAATAATAATAATAATAATAATAGGGGTAATTAAATCTCGTTAAAACAAATAATAATAATAATGATAATAACAAATTTAATTTCATTTAATAATTTTCCGTTTTCTTTTTTCTTTATTAAACAAACAAATGGCAATTATTTATTAAAAAGTATAGAAAGTTTAATGAAATATCGATGCACCGGAAATGCGTGTAATTCAATTATCAAAATTCGCGCGGCCAAAAATTACAAAAAAAATAATTAATTTAATTTTCGATATTAATTATTATTGGTATTATTATTATTATTATTTGAGTAAGTAATCAAATGTTAAAATGACGGAGTTGTTGTTGTTGTTGTTGTTGTAAATCTCGTTACTGTAATAAAACACGTGCGGGTTAAAAAAAAAAAAAAAAGCAGAAGAAAATTTGAAACAAAAAAAAATAAATAAACAAAGTAAAATGAAAAAGTTTTTAAATAATGTCAATAAATTACGCGATAAAATGGCGGTCGTTAATAATAATAATAATAATAATAATAATATTAATTTTCATTTGAAAAAGAAACGAATGCATAAATTTTTTTTTTTTCTTATCATTAACCTTATCAAAAAGCAGAAGAAAAACAAAAAACAAAAAAAAAAAAAGGTCAAAACAAAAAAATTTTTTTTTCATTTTTTCTTCATGATTAAAAAAAAAAAGAAAAAAAGAAGCTTTTAACTAAATGTCATTGCCGCGTTTTTAAAAGCCGCATTCCCATTCCATTTGCCCAACACACTATAACAAAATGGTGGAATGATAATAATAATAATAAACGGCCGTTGTTGCGTGGACACAAAATATCACACATTCAAGGAAAACTTGATACTGTGTCATCATCGTCATCAACAACATTTTTTTCTTTTCTAGTTGGTCTCGGTCACATTATAAAAATTAAAAATAATAATAATAATGATAATGATAATGATAATGACGATGATAATTAATAATAATGATAGTTTAAACTGTAGTTGTTGTAGCAGTACAATGAATTTAAATTTATAAAATAAAATAAAATAAAATAAAATTTTAATTATAACCCACTTTTTAATAGTGTGACCTCCCTCCCCTCCCCCTCCCTATACAAGCGAGGGCATCGTGATGTGATGAAGTAAAAAGGTGAGGGGAAGGGTGCAAGGCAAAGGGGTTAAAAAATATTAAATCCGTTCGCGTAACGCGTAGATTTCTAGTTTTAAATTTTTAGTAAAAAAAAAAAAAAAAAATTTTTGATTAAAACGTTTTTCGTTTTTCATTTAAATTCTCGCCATTTTTTTTTAATTGCAACAATGCTGCCAACTTTTCCTTTTTTTTTTCACTCATTCGAACGAATTCTTTTTTTTTCATCTTTTTTTCATTAACGGAATTCGGCTCACGTTTTCTTTATTTTTTTTTTGCATCTCCTCAACTTAAAAAAAAAAAATAAAAAGGGAGTAAAGGGTCATGGAAAATATTTAAAAACCTGTTTAGCAGAAGATAGAGAAAAAAAAAGCGTAGAATTTTACGGAAAAAAAACAAAAGTGAATGTAATTCAAGTAAATTTATTCAATAAATGAAAACTCACGAAAATATTGCATGCACACACTTCACCGTCGATCACGTTTTTCTTTTTTTTTTTTTTTTTTTTTTACGGTTTCGAACATCGGTTGTGAAATTAGTCACAGTAGCATCATCATCATCATCATCATCATCATCATCATCATCACCACCACCAATCTATGGTATCCTGCTACCCGACGACAACGTCTGACAGGCACTTTTAGTAAAATATTCGATCGATTTAGAGATCGCGGCCATGACGAAATTTTCAAAAAAAAATTTTTTTTAATCGAATCGTCGGACTTGCAAAAAAAAAAAAAAAAAAAAAAGAAAGAAAGAAATTTATTTTTGTAATCTTTTTATTTCTTTCAAGATTAAAACAAGAATAACCTTTGACCTCGAACCGAATTAAACGAAAAAAAAA